GTGTATATATGTGTATGTTACATGTGTGTGTGTGTGTGTATTTGTGTGTATGTGTCTGTGTGTGTGTGTGTGTGTGTGTGTGTTTGTTATGTGTGTGTGTATGTTAAATGTGTGTGTGTGTGTGTGTGTGTGTGTGTATGTGTGAGAAGCTGCCAAACATGTGTACATATGTGTGAGAAGCTGCCAAACATGTGTACATATGTTTGAGTCCCTGTATATGAATGTGTGTGTGTTGTAGTTGTAATATGTTGACAACTGCTATAGGCTACAAATGTGTGTGTGTGTGTGTGTGTGTATATGTGTGTGTGTGTGTGTGTGTGTGTGTGTGTGAGTTTGAGAGAGAGAGAGAGATAATTTTTTCATCCCCTGCCTTTGTGTTTCCTTTGTGTTGTAGATCGAGAGGAATTGAAGGATGACATCAAGTCCAGGATATGGGTCACCTACCGGAGAAACTTCCAGAACATCGGTACGCCTCCATGTCTTTGTGTGTTGTCTATGCACGTGACGTGAATGTCGCGGGTGGTTAGACGATGCCATGATTTGCTTCTGCTTTTTTCTTTCCACTTCTTGTTTTTGTCGATTTCCTCCCCCCTCCCCCCTCCCCCATATTAAATTATGTTCATATGGATATTGTGGAAAAGAGTGTACTTGCCTTCTGAGTTCTGTACAAATACACAAATACTGATGGGTCAAATTGGCTTCCACGAGGCGCTGAGCGGTCTACACTGGCCGGCTCAGATCCAATCGTTGGACTCTCAGACGACACTTCACCGTCTGCTTCGGACCATTTGCCAGTGGTTGGCGGGTGCGCTGGTGTGGTTTGCTTCTTCTTTCCTATCGAACATCTATCGTCCTTATCTCCCCTTCTTCTTTTTTTATGTTTGTTACTCTCTTGTAACACCTCTAATCTTCTGGCGCTCATATGACCTTATGCAGTTGCGAGCGCCATAAAACCTCTACTAAAACTAAAAGAACAGTTCCCGCCTTGCCTTCATACGAAATTCATCAGCCCCCCCCCCCCCTCTAGTATCATGGGGCGGCTAATCTGTTTGGCCTGCTCAGCGCCCCCTAGTGCCATGGGCCGTAACTCTATCTCACTGTTTCATTACGCTAATAACAGATATGATGAGTGATGAGTTTCTCTTGACTCGAACCTGTGGTTGTAAGACTCGAACTTGTGGTTGTAAGACTCTAACTTGTAAGACTCGAACCTGTGGTTGTAAGACTCGAACTTGTAAGACTCGAACTTGTGGTTGTAAGACTCGAACTTGTGGTTGTAAGACTCAAACTTGTGGTTGTAAGACTCTAACTTGTAAGAATCGAACTTGTGGTTGTAAGACTTGAACTTGTGGTTGTAAGACTTGAACTTGTGGTTGTAAGACTCTAATTTGTGGTTGTGGTTGTAAGACTCGAACCTGTGGTTGTAAGACTCTAATTTGTGGTTGTAAGACTCGAACCTGTGGTTGTAAGACTCGAACTTGTGGTTGTAAGAATCGAACTTGTGGTTGTAAGACTCGAACTTGTGGTTGTAAGAAGCTTTATAGAGACAATAGATGATTGTGGGTGGTTGGCAGGTGCTCTAGTGTGGTTTGCTCCTTCTTTCCTACCAAACGTCTATCGTCCTGGTCTCTCCTTCTTTTTTGTGTTTGTTACTCTCTTGTAACACCTCTATTCTCCGCCACTTATATGACCTTATTGTGTTTGTTACTCTCTTGTAACACCTCTAGTCTTCGGCACTTATATGACCTTATTGTGTTTGTTACTCTCTTGTAACCTCTAATCTTCGGCACTTATATGACCTTATTGTGTTTGTTACTCTCTTGCAACACCTCTAATCTCCGCCACTTCTATGACCTTATTGTGTTTGTTACTCTCTTGTAACACCTCTAATCTCCGCCACTTCTATGACCTTATTGTGTTTGTTACTCTCTTGTAACCTCTAATCTTCGGCACTTATATGACCTTATTGTGTTTGTTACTCTCTTGTAACACCTCTAATCTCCGCCACTTCTATGACCCTATTGTGTTGCAAGGGCCTTATAACTCTTACTAATACAATAGATGATTACCCTATTCTAAACCTTTTGGACAGTTTTGTTGTTCTATTTTAGGATGTGAAGATGGGGAAGAAATAAAATATTGTTATCACCGCTATCAGAAAGTGATAGGAAGAACACATTTGTGTTATCTGTTGTTATACTCCTGGGCGGGGTGGTAGAAAAAGACGGGGAGGGAGGCCAATGACAGAGAGAAAGAAAGAGATAGAAAGGAAAGTTAATGACACTGAGACAGAAAGAGATAGAAAGGAAAGTGAATGACACTGAGACAGAAAGAAAGAGATAGAAAGGAAAGTTAATGACACTGAGACAGAAAGAGATAGAAAGGAAAGTGAATGACACTGAGACAGAAAGAAAGAGATAGAAAGGAAAGTTAATGACACTGAGACAGAAAGAAAGAGATAGAAAGGAAAGTTAATGACACTGAGACAGAAAGAAAGTGATAGGAAGTTAATCATAAAGAGATAGAAAAAAAGGAGATAAAAAAGTTAATGACAAAAAGATCAAACAAAAATAATAGGAAAATTAATGATCAATTGCGAGAAAGAAACTGATATGAAAGTTAAGGATCAATATACAGAAAGAAAGAGATAGAAAAGTCAATAAGTGATGGAAAGGTAGATGACAAAGATACATAAAGAATGTGATAGGAAAGTTAAGGACAAAATCGTAGACAAATAAATAAAAAGAACAGAAAATGATAGGAACGGAACAGGAAATGATGAGAAAGTTAATGAGAAAGAGATGGGAAAACATTAACCCTTCCAGCCCCATGTGCGTATATTTTCAGCAGCATTTGTACCCACCAACCCAGGAGCCTATATTCTCAGTTTCAGGGGGTACCGAAGTTGCACATTTTAAAAAATTTGCGACCTATTTAAGCTGTAATTTTCATAATATTTGTTCATTTACCTTTAAACATTGTTATATGTTATTATCTAAATCTCATTACAAAGATACTACATCACTTTTTTAGAATGCATGCTTTTTTTTTCTGAAGTACTGCTGTATTGGCTGGGGCTGGGGTTAGGGAGTGCACAAAAATGTGTGGGGCTGGAAGGGTTAATGACAATATGAGACATGCTGCATTTGATGAACTGTAATTCTACAAAGTGTCTCCTCCCCCCCCCCCCCCCTCAGGTGGCATGGGTCCCAGTTCGGACCAGGGCTGGGGCTGTATGCTGCGCTGTGGCCAGATGATGCTGGCGCAGGCACTGGTGCTGAGACATCTGGGTCGCAGTGAGTACTTTTTGTGTATGTTTAGTGAATAGTGAGTAGATTTTGTACCTGATGACTGAATGTTGGTTTTGTTACTTGTACATTATGAGTGAATAATGAGTGAATGTTGGTTTTGTATGTGATGAATGAATGATGAGTGAATGTTGGTTTTGTATGTGATGAATGAATGATGAGTGAATGTTGGTTTTGTATGTGATGAATGAATGATGAGTGAATGTTGGTTTTGTATGTGATGAATGAATGATGAGTGAATGTTGGTTTTGTATGTGATGAATGAATGATGAGTGAATGTTGGTTTTGTATGTGATGAATGAATGATGAGTGAATGTTGGTTTTGTATGTGATGAATGAATGATGAGTGAATGTTGGTTTTGTATGTGATGAATGAATGATGAGTGAATGTTGGTTTTGTATGTGATGAATGAATGATGAGTGAATGTTGGTTTTGTATGTGATGAATGAATGATGAGTGAATGTTGGTTTTGTATGTGATGAATGAATGATGAGTGAATGTTGGTTTTGTATGTGATGAATGAGTGATGAGTGAATGTTGGTTTTGTACGTGATGAATGAGTGATGTGTGAATGTTGTAAATGATGAGTTCATCTTGTCTTAGTGAGTAAACATTGGTGGTTGGCAAGTATGCTGGCGTGGTTCACTCCTTTAAAAAAATCAAATATCTGTCGTCCTTATCTCTCCTCCTTCTGTTTTGTGCATGTTACTCTCTAGGAACACCTCTAATTTTCAACACCTCTGACATTTTTGGCTGTTTTAAGTTGCTAAGACCTTGAGGTAAGTTGGTAAAAAACCACATGAAGATATTTAAAGGATTGCATTCAAACAAGCTTGACATTTTGTGAAATTCAAAATGTTTCATGTCAAATTTCCCTGAGAAATGGGTACTGAACAGATAGAACTTTGTAGTTGAAAGGTTGCGACCTGACCTGACCATCAATGATTTATTTCTAGAGGCACCAGCCATCCATGTCCAGGTGCTGGTTTAGCCAGGTTGCGACCTGTCTATCGTAGTTGTGTTGCAAGTGCTGTTACTTGCCGTAACATTCTTGGCTAAGATTTCCAAAAGTTAAGAGTAAACTGTGGCTGAAGTTGGCGACTGTTTGTCTGTAATTGTGAGTGTGTGTTTACTGAACAGGTTGGAGGTGGGACCCGCTGCGCACAGATGAAACATACTGGAAACTTCTGCGGATGTTTGAGGACAAGAAAACCTCAACGTACTCCATACATCAGATCGGTACGGAAATTACTGGATTGTCTGTGTCTTTTTTCCTCTCTCTGTCTCTCTGTCTGTCTCT